TCCTCCTGCCTCAGCCTCCCAAGTAGCTGGGACTACAGGCATGCACCACCATGCCCAGCTAATTTTTCCTATATATTTTTAGTTGTCCAGCCAATTTCTTTCTATTTTTAGTAGAGACGTGGTCTTGCTCTTGCTCAGGCTGGTCTCGAACTCCTGAGCTAAAACAATCCATCCTCCTCGGTCTCCCCAGAGTGCTAGGATTATGGGCATGAGCCACGACATCTTCATTTTAGCCCAGTGATAACTGTTGGATTTCTGACTTACACAATGGTAAAATAATAAATTTACATGATTTAAGCTGCTAAATTTGTGGTAATTTGTTGTTATGGCAGCAAGAGAAGACTAATACACCAACGCTGTACAGATGGCCATTTGCTACCAGGCAAATGTTTCAAGACAGGAGACATGACAAGAAAAAGAAAATAATCTCAATAGGGAGGAAAGTAGAGGTCAAGAAAGCAGCAGAAATTATGGGAAGGAGGGAAGGTGTTTAAGACTTTCTGAGATCATGGAAGCGACATTATTACTGTTGGGAGGATACTTAATGATTCATCAATATCTGCAAAGGCCTTTTAGAACTAGAGAAAAGTTGGAGAACATCAAATACCCTGTAGAACCCACATTCCATCTGTGAAAACAGACCAAACTGCTTTTCTTCCTCTAGCTTTCTCAACCCTCTTTCACCACCTCACCCAAGGCGAAACCTAGATCTCTCCTAAAACATCTTTTCCTCTGTAAACTACTGTAACAGAAAATACTCTTTCTCTTTTCTCGACATGAGAGAAAAGGGTATCTAAGCATGGTACTTATTTCTGAGTCCCTCCTCCAACATTGTTGTTCAGTCATCTCTCAATAACCTTCATTTTTTAAGTCTAAAATATCTGCTAAGACACTCTCCTACACAATGATTTAACGCTTAGCTAACAAGTTTCCTTTTCATCTCTTCTCTGGCTGTTTTGCAAAAGCACTTCAGTATCCGTTTTGACAAATCTTCCTACACCCTGATCTTGCCTCAACTTTCGTTTCATCATGTCCAAACCTTACTCATCATGCCTGTCTAAACATTCTCCTTCAAGGCTCAGTTCAAATTGTATCTCTGAGAGGTCTTGCCAGATGGATATAATAATTCTCCCTCTTCTGTATTTATCTAATAAGGATTTATGGATGAATTTCTAATTTTAGTTAATCATATACTTGGTCTTTGGATATTACTTCCTCCTTTAGATAAAGATTTAATGAATAAGAATGTTCATCACTATTACTTATGATGGTGAAAAACCAAAAACAAATGCCATTAGAGGAATGGTTTGATAAAGTACAGTGTATCTATGAGACTATTAAAACAGCCATTAAAAATCACGAGTTTGAAGAATATTTAATGACATGGAAAATGCTCATGCTACAAAGCCAAATGATATTTGTGTACTTGTAATTTATAATTTATTTACATGTCTGTTTCACTACTAGAATGAGTTAATCAAAAGAGGAAGATAGTGCCTCTTGTTAATATTTGTAACCTTAGGCCCCACTCCTGGTATACAGATGTTTATTGAAAAAAGTTGGTGGAACAAATGACCCCAGTGTGAGTCCATTCATCTTAAAAGTGGGGAAGCCAAGGCCTAGGTAAGTTGAGGATCCATCTTGGATCACTGGATAAAATTACAGCAGAGCTGAGTTTAGAACCCAGTTCTCTCACTGCCCAGCATGGTGTTCTTTCCCATCACTGTCCCGCCACACACTGACGCCATCCTTCTGAGCCTCCAGGGTTATAACTTATTACTCACATCTTTTAAAATTTGCCAACAGCCCAACTCTTCCTCTTTCTATTCATTTTTTCTTTTTGTTTTTATGTTACTGATTCTTTCCCACATTCATCCATTTTCATTGCTACTCTTCATTATTTTTTAAAAATACGTTTATTGATATATAATTTACATACTAGAAAGTTTACCTGCTTAAATATACAATTCAATGGTGTTTAGTATATTCACAGACTTGTGCAACCATTATCATAACCGAATTTTAGAACATTTTCGTCATTCCTTAAAAGAAACCTTGTACCTATTAGTGCTGTCTCTTGTCATTCTGCCACCTCTCAGCCACTGGAAAGCACTGATCTTTGTCTCTGTGATTTTGCCTATTCTAGACATTCTTCATTCTTCTTTTTAATTTTTTTTAAATCTGCTAGTGTTGCTTCCTTGAATTTCTAGGTCTAGCTTGAACATGAGTACCTCAGGACCCTCCCCCTTTTTTTCTGAGACAGCGTCTTGCTCTGTTGCCCAGGCTAGAGTGCAGTGGTATCATCATAGCTCACTGCAACCTCAAATTCCTGGGTTCAAGTGATCCTCCTGCCTCAGCCTCCTAAGTAGCTGGGACTACCAGCGTACCCAGCTAATTTTTAGTTTTTTTGTAGAGACAGGTCTCACTATGTTGCTCAAGCTGGTCTTGAACTCCTGTCCTCAAGTTATCCTTCCTCCTTGGTATCCCAAAGTGCTAGGATTACAGGTGTGAACTATGGCACGGAGCAGCCAGCACCCCCTTTTCCTGGATACACTGCCACTTTCTGTCACGACTGCCCAACAGGACCAAATCTCTTTTCATTCTGGTTTTTGGAAGTTCAAAAGCACATTATGGGCCGGGCATGGTGGCTCACGCCTGTAATCCTAGCACTCTGGGAGGCCAAGGCAGGC